GTTAGTAGTGAAACTGTATTCACCTCGCTTGGTTGAGGATCTTCGTCTCCATCAGCTTTGTGAAAGAGATAATACATGTGGTCAGAGCATTGACATGAACTGAAAGTCTTTTGGTAGAATGTTCTAATTCGTCCCCTGTCAAAAGAGTCTATAGGTTTCCATTAATGACCAGGCATCAGTTTTCCAGTATCCATATCTGCCTGGTTGATTGTCAGTCGGTGTGTAACGGTCTACTACACTCATGGTTTGGTGTTAATTTTGTTTTTTGTGTTACAGTTTCGTATGTGTCAAATTTAGTCTTTCAAAAATGAAAATATTCAAAAGTTTCTAATAACTAGGTTTTTACAGAAAAGAGATCCTTTATATGAATAAAGGGTCGTAGGTCAGTCAGTAATCTGCAGTTATTTTGTTCCAGCTGCTCTGCGAGTTATAAAGACAGATCTGTTAAGTTCTCGTTGATGAACTAAATGGCCAGTTATACTTTTTCTACAATCAAAGTCAAAACTTCAGCTCATTAGTGGCATATGTCTGGACCATTGATTACTTTTTAAATATGATAAAGCATGTAAAAGTTACTTTGTTAGAAAGTGCTACCGTGTTAAAAAATGGACTCAAATATGACAGATACAGTAGATTTTAAACAGTACCTCTGTGAAATTTCTTGATTTTTATAAGCAGACCAATGATGACCATCACAAGGAAAACAGTCAGACCACCCAGAATCACACCCATCAGGTTTGTATTTTCATCAGACTTTTCTGCAACAAATGGAAAAATCAGAATAAATGTTCTCTTCTATGGCTTGTGATCTCGCTAACATTTGGGGCAGTGAATTTAATTTTACTTTGAGACTTGCAGTCGTTGTCATCGTCAGATTCACTGTCGCCTGAAATGGAGAAAAAAAGGTGCAACTGTCAAACTTATAAAAATATTTTTCTTTTGTGACACAATCACTAAAAAAATAACCCCAAAAAGACATAGTTTATAGTAAATGTTTCCTGGAGCATATA